GTTTAACTTTCACTGGCTGCTATATAAGGCACTCCTTCCTGTTTATATGCACAGCCTATTCCTCCAGATGGTGAGTTGGGTTGTTGTAAGTCAGAATATAAAGCAAGCAGGCAGCAGAATGTGTGATTTTAAAGACTATTTAACATGCGCAGTGATGCCAGACACACTGGTTTTAGCATCTTTAAAACAGGTGACCCCCAATTACATCCCAGGAGGATAATGCACCACTGTCACTGCATCATATACACTTTTACTGCCTTTACGATCCATAAATCTCAATTCAGCACATACCCTAAAGGAATTGCTGAGTAAGATGGTTCCCTATAACCTTTAAAAGTTATTTAATATGTTTTGTTTTTTATGTTGTAAACATTTTGTCGGATCGGGCGCCCTTGTTTTAATATGATGGATATTTCACTTTGAAAGAAACTCTTCAGACAAATAGCTTTCTGCTGATGGTCTGAAGAATAATAATTGAAATCATCTATTGTTAGCTTCTTCTGTACATTTGATAGCTATGGTTGATGTTCCCAAGGGCTGTAAACACTACTGCTGATGCTTTAAACCAAAGCAGTCATTTATTACCCATGAGGATGCTTCTCTATATTTCTATGCAGACACATTAGTAATGAACTATTTTATATCTGACAGCTTGCTCAAAGGAGGGAGTTCAGCCCTTCTGTTTTTATCTGCATCTATAAGTCTAGAAGAAGAAGACTAGAAAAGCACTATATAAGCTCAAGTCCATTTACCATAAGTCATATATGTGATGGTGAATGTTGAGAAGGAGTAATTAGTGAAATTGAGCGATTATTATGACTGTAAGTAGACAGAAATACTTTTTTTAAGAGACAGGTCTCCAAGTTGTAAGTAACAAGATGTTTTCTTGTGCCATTTTGAAAACTATCTGTTCCGTGTATAATTGTGGATGCTTTAAAGTGAATTAAAGCATAAGAAAAAAAAAGGAAGGGACTATGTATGTGCATTACTTTAAGAGAAGGATGCCTCATGTTTTCTTTCTTTCTCTCTCTCCCACACACCCTGGCCCGCCTAGTGTATTTCCCTCCTGGCTTTCCAATTTATATGCAAATGTTCCCAAATCGGACTCCACAAAGACGCAGAGGCAAAATCATTTGACGCAGCGATGAATTATATATTTTAATTAAGCAGCCAAAAGAATCACGCCTATTCAGCCCTTTCCCCTCCAATAAGAAATGAATAAATAAATATGGAAGAGGGGAAGAAAAAAGAGGGAATAAATGGGTGGGCTAGGAGAGGGACGGATGGATGAAGGGAGGAGGGTTTGTATTGAGTTTCTGTGATTGCAGCACTAACCGGCCGTGGGCTGTCATTATGTGAGCGATCTGAAGCTGTCAGATTTCAAAACTGTATTGTATTCTGATAGACGGGTTAAATACCCCCACAGTTTCAAGCATACACACACACAAGCACACTGGAGCATTTGCACCCAGAGAAGCCCACTAAACACACACACACACACACACACACACACACACACACACACACACACACACACACACACACACACACACACACACACACACACACACACACACATACACACACAGTGTTTTGGTTTTGATGGGCAAACCAGCACTCTAAGAGCAGAGATGGGGGATTGTGATGCTCTGACAGGGGATGCAATTTTAATTTCACCCCCTGTCACTCTCCTCAATATCTACTCAGATGAAATACATATGAGCTGCCAATCACTCACAAAAACAAACAGAAACAGAACTGTGCCCACACACAAACACACATTCTATCCTTCAATCACATGCATACATGCAAACTTTCATTTTTATTTCTGTCTTCCTAAGTCACAGTAGCAGTCGCATACTCATGCAAACAGATCTTTTAATATGTTAAAAACTCAAGTAGTGTCCCTCTCCGGGCCGCTGCATGTGGCTTAGTTGGTCGTCTCTCAACCAGAAGGTTGGGGGTGCGATTCCCAGCTCCTGCAACCACATGTCCAATGTGTCCTTGGGCAAGACACTAAACCTCTGGCTGCTTTGTTGGCAGTGTATAAATGTGTATGAATGGAATTCGTTACTTCTGATAGTAACTGTACATAGCAGCCTCTACCATCAGTGTGTGAATGCATATGAATGGGATTAGTTACTTCCGATAGTAACTTTACTCAGCAGCCTCTACCATCAGGGTGTGAATGTGTAGGTGTGACATGCTGTGTAAAACCACTTTGAGTAGTCAAAAGACTAAAAAAGCGATATACAAGCTTAAATCCATTTACCATCTCCTTTTTACAATGTTACAATTCACTTAGCAGACGCTTTTATCCAAAGTGACGTACATCAGAGAGTAAGTACAACACTAATCCATTCATACACCGCCACCGAAGCAGCGGGAGCAATACAGGGTTAAGTGTCTTGCCCAAGGACACATCGGACATGTTGCTCAGCTGGGGATCGAACCCTAGAGGCGACGACTCTACCAACTAAGCCACAGCCACCCCTTTTTAATGCAATATATCTTAAATTAAAATGCCAGAATTTTAAATAGCTAGTATACCTGATGCACAGGAGTTAAACCTGAAGAACATATGAGATGATACAAAGAAGCCCTCTGCAGACGTCTGTTAGTTCTACTTTCATACATACATCATAAAGTTGATGTGGCAGAGTTCAGTTGTGTGCCTGAAGTCATGCTAGAATTAGTGTTAATAAATAAAAATTGAAACTGCGTAGTGCACAGGACATGTCATACACTTCAACAACAACAAAGAGATTAAGCAGAATGAAAATAACTAAATTCTACAAAAATTTTCTTTTGCATCCAGCAACAAAGAAAGGGCCTAGAATGAATAATGGTAAATATAGGGGAATAAAACCATTTAGTATAACTGTTATCTAGTTTTTCCAAACTTTAAGGGAGCTGTTTTAAGGCAAATTTCTATTTTAACATATTACATAACTAATTTTATATGAAAGATAACATTTTAGAAAATTACAATAATCATTACATTACATTACTTTCTAATCCTTAAGGAGAACAATGATGTTTGTATGTTGACATCCTTCCATTATTACATTTGTGTTGATTTGACATATAGATTTAAAAACTTCATAATTTTAAAAAGGAGCTGTTTGAGTGTAAAAGCTTTTCTTTCTCTTTACTCTGGACCTTTATGTAAACATTTACTTGATTTTTTTTGACTGTTTTATTGCCTTTTGACATTTGAGGCAGACTGTAAAAGCTTTTTCATGTTCTTGAACATTCTTGAGCCATACCACAGATATGTAACTCGTCTTGTGAGCTGCTGTTACATGGTGTAGTTGTGTTCATGTTGAGCCTTAACAACGAAAGACAGGCAAACATAAAATGTAGAGAAATGGAGGGATAAAAACAATAATGAAAAGACAGTGAAATGGTAAAAGAGATATGAAGCAGTGAATTAGGGTAGAAGAGTAAAACAAAAAGAAGCTTAAAAAAGACTGAGAGATAATGGAAGAAGACAGTAGTTTGTAACAGCTGGAGTGTTGCATCAAAAGAACAAGGAAATTCACTTTTCCTCCTTGGCTCTATTTAGAGCGCTCAGTCTGTTCTCCTCATGCAGACACATACACCTTACTCACCACATGTCTCAGCAGCATGCAGACCCTTAGACAACCTCTCTCTGTAAGAGAGCCAGCTATCTCCCTTTTAGCTGAACAGAGGATTGGGGACAGAGGAAGAAGAAGAGGTGCAGGGAGATAAAAGAGACGGAAGAAAAGGCCACAAATTTAATGGGAGTCTCCAGGTTCAAGCCCCCCTCTTGGCAGGAATCTGCCCTGCTCAAGTGTCCTTGAATACCTCAATGGCATATCCCTACAAGCTCCAAAGATGTAGTTATGTTGGAGGGTACTCTGACCTCTGACCTAACACCTACCAGTGGAGGAGAGTTTTCACAACAGAGATCATTTCGAGTGCCGACCAATTAATAGATATGTTGCATGTTTAAAAAGTAAAAACAGGAATGAGAAATGTTCAGGCAGTTGTATGAAGGATTTATTTTCTTGGTGAAGCAAACCTGCCTACTGTCAACACGAGTTAAATAAGACAAAAGTAACACTTGTGCTCACTAAATCAAACTTTATCTTTATACTTTAGCTTTGCTGCTTGGTGCTGCTTCATGACAATCCATTCATTAGTCAATCAATGAAGTCACTTTGATAACTAAGTTAGATGAATCTTTCCTGTTGTGGCAGCACAATATTTGGCTTATTACAATAGCTTTAACAGCACTAGGATTTTACTGCAAATCTATCTTCTCATCTCATCTTGAAAATAAATATTTGCAGAAATGTTGAGCTGCTCCTAAGGAGGAAAAGTGTGAAGAATGTTAAAAACAATACAAAAAAAAAACTAGGTGTTGAAAAGACAGAGAACATCAATGTGACGATATGATGAAACAAAACAATGAATGCATATGACAAAAGAGATGAGAGCAACTTAAAACTAGTCTTACACATTTAACTGTAAACTATTTACAGAAAAATGTATTTGCAAAAACCATTTGACACCAGAATGCCCATGAGCTCTTGTGTGTTACACATCAGCTGTTTTTTTGTTTATGGTGTACTATACCTTTAAGAGCTGCTGGCCATAGCCCATCCCAAAGAGGATGGACCCATTAAGCTGATGAACTGAGATAGAAAGAAAGAGAGAGAGAGAGGGGGGTTATAGAGGATAACAACAGTTAAAGAAGTAAAGAAAGGATTGCCATTTGGAAAAAGGGCTCTGCAGATTAGGGAGCAGCAGAGGAAGAGAAACCCCACTTACAGGCTTACAGTAGTGAGGTAAAGAGACTCTGAGAAATACAGAGAGAACAGGAAGCAGCTATCTCTCCATCTCTTACATGGTGTTGTAGGCGTCTTATGGGGTCTGTCAGTCAATCAGGACGACAGGCAGACACACTCACTGGCCGGGTCTGACTCCTGCACGCGCTCACGCTGATGACTTTGCTGTGTGTGTGTCTACAGATGGCAAACCTTGTGACATCGTTGTGCTGTGTAGTTCTGGCCGCGGTGGTGGTAGCCTATGCTCAGAGACGCAGTCAGCTTGGTGAGTATGCATTTTAATCTTCTTCTTTTATTGGACTGTATTTCCTCTCTGCTTAGGCCTTGGGTGCTTCTAGCCCTTATGTTGTCTGCCTAACTCCACTGTGTTCTTCATCACGCTCAGAAAGTCAACACCAGTTCACTCTTCTTTCACTGAACACTGCTGCTCTGTACTCGAACAACTTGTTGTGTCAGTTTTATTTTAGCCATGCTGAAGTAGTCTATGTGGTGCTACCATTTCTCTTTGTTCCTACCTATCCTAACATTGTTCTACCTTAGGTTTTTATTTAGCCTATATCATTATTGAAATGAGATAACTTCACCTCTTCTATGCACAAGTTACCCCATTCTGCTGTAGCTCAATGTTAACTGCTTTTATTTCCATCAATGGAACTGCGTTTATAAGTTTGTTTTTTATATATTTGACATTCTTATTGGGACCACTTGTGGAGTAAGACTATAGGGATACATTAACTGTGTATTTAGAGAATTTGAGCTACACTAGCTGGTTCTTGACAGGATATCACAGGTGCTGCAGGTAAATTAGCCTTTGTTGAAGCCCAGTTGGATTCACTTTTCCTCACCAAATAAAGAGAAACAATAGCCGACGAAAATGGCTCTTCATACCTCACTGCATGTGGCTAATATTGAGGCCAGATTACCAAGAATACCTCCATGACAAATAAGGGTTCAACAAAGAAGCCAGTCAAGTTGTGATCATGAGCATGTTTCAATTGATTTGTGAGGTTTCTAGGGAGAACAGAGATACAGTGACTTTTCTTTCCAGAGTTCACACAAGATGCATGACCGTAAATTAGACCAAGTGTGTACATGGTGTGTGTGTGTGTGTGTGTGTGTGTGTGTGTGTGTGTGTGTTGTCTGGGTGAGTGTGTGTGTGTGTGTGTGTGTGTGTGTGTGTGTGTGTGTGTTGTCTGGGTGAGTGTGTGTGTGTGTGTGTGTGTGTGTGTGCGTGTGTATGTGTGTTGTCTGGATGTGTGTGTGTGTGTGTGTGTGTGTGTGTGTCTGTATGTGTGCTGTCTGGATGAGTGTGTGTATGTGTGTGTGTGTGTGTGTGTGTGTGTGTGTGTGTGTGTGTGTGTGTGTGTGTGTGTGTGTGTGTGTGTGTGTGTGTGTGTGTGTGTGTGTTTGTTGTCTGGGTGAGTGTGTTCAAGAGAGGAGTCAATTTGTCACTTGACTTTTAGTGGAGAGTCGCCTTGGCTTATTAGCCAACGAGGTCTGGCTGTTTAAGTCAGCTGACCAAAGAAAGAGTCTAAGGGAGTCAATAAGTCCCCAGTGACGCACATGACTTTGTCACGAGGGTCACGCAGACACACGCACACACGTCCACACACACACACACACACACACACACACACACACACACACACACACACACACACACACATACAAAGCAACAGAGCATAGAACGTCTTCGGCGATGGGCTTGTTGTCTTTGTGGATAAAGTGAAAGCAGCAGAGAAGGTAAGTGAAAAAAGGAGATGGAGAGAAAACAAGAAGTGGTTACATAGTGAAGGGATGGAAGGCAAACAGAAACAGATGGATTGAGAATTAAATGGAGGAGGAACAATGAGTGACTTTTGATGGGAAACTTAGAAGAAAATGAGAGTTGTGCCAAAAACTAATGGGTATGTGTTGAGGATAAAAACCCTTTTGTCCCCTTAAAAATGTGTCCTAAAAAGTCATTTACTTTCATTCATTTGGATTCAGATGCAGAGATTTGATGTCCATTATTTTATTTCCATCTTTTCAAACCCTTCAACAACTTTCCTTAACTGTATTTTTGGTTTACTTGGTTTCAATGTTAGTCTATTTTACTGATCAATCCTTATCTATTTTTATACAAGAAAGACAGTTTGGAAGGGGAGCAGGCAAAATAGAGGATAAGGAGAGGTGAAAGGGGGACACCTGAGGGAATTACAAATATGGAAAAAGAATGAAATGAATTACATGAGTAGGGAAGATAACTGTCAGGTCTGTCTTATCGCTGCAGTGTAGCTGTCACTTGTCGTAGTATTCATGCTGCTTAGATTCAGAATGCAGCATGCATGCAAGCATACATGCAACATAATGCACACACTTCTGTACATTTAAAAATAATTAATGTCACAGAGATACATGTCAAGACATGCACTGCATAACAACATTAAAGCAGAGGTATTACCAGCCTGTACAGTCTCATCCAAAATCTCTTCTGCCTGCAATCACACACACACACACACACACACACACACACACACACACACACACACACACACACACACACACACACACACACACACACACACACACATATATATATAAATATATACAAACCCTTACTCACAGAGAAACACACACACACACACACACACACACATCACACACACACACACACATATATATATAAATATATACAAACCCTTACTCACAGAGAAACACACACACACACACACACACACACACACACACACACATCACACACACACACACACACATATATATATATATATATATATATATATATATAAATATATACAAACCCTTACTCACAGAGGCCTGATTGTGTCTGTCTCAGAAAGTGCCTCGTTTCTCTGACAAATTGCTTGCGAGTTTGATTGCCATAATTCCCTGGACTATGCCCCACTCGGAAGAATGCATGCAACACACGCACCCTCAACCATGCACGTATACGCACACACTCACACACACATACAGACACACACACTATAGGAAATCCATTTGAGATTTTATAATTAATGACAGAAGTGCATATGAGACAACACAAGACAGTGGTAGAAGACATCCAAAGACAAAGTCAGACAAATAGATACAAGCTCCACACATACAGAAGTCAACAGACTGAGACAAAGACATGAGAGAATGAAAGACAGGGAATGGATCAGGGCGGAACGAGTTGTTGAAGAGATATTGGAGCAAAAGAAAATAAATAAACAATGTGTTAAAAGAGTATTTACTGAAACAAACTTCTGCTTTTTTCATGTAAGAGATAACTGACATCCAAAATAAAAAAGTAAATGTATTTACTACATGAATATAATGGCTTTAGTTGTCTGAAAAACAATAAGCATACATAGTATACCTATGTTTGAGTATTTACACCATCATTTGTTTTTTTAGAAACTACCCCCCCCCTCCAAAAGCAGAGCTCCTTTTTGATTTAATACTGACAACATTAATTGGATATGCCATTCAACTTTTGTAAGGTGATTCATGTTGATCAAAAAACAGTCAGACTGAAGTCCAAGCAACAGAAAGAATAGCACCCTAATGACACATTGCAACGACAGAGGAAACTGAAAATAATTGAAAGCTATCAACCCGCAGAGAGAAAAGGAATGAGCCCCTGGGGTTATGCCAATTACATTTCCTTGAATGGGAATTTGACTTTTGATTCCGAGTGAGAAACAGATGATGCGATGGTTAGAGGGACCAGAACATTTTTTACGTGGGTGGAAAAGACTCAAGACAGATCGGGGGAAAGCTATTGAGAGAATACAGAATGGATGAGAGTTTAAGCATGGGGACACAGAGTCAGATGTTTTTTATGGTTTATACCCTTATACTTATAATCCCTTTTATGTCATGAAACTTTACTATAGTCTCAATCACAATTTTAATGAAATTTCAGAAACATTTTCTGATTTTGAACTTGTGTATTTCCAAAATGTCTTTAAACTAGATGCTGGATGCTGACCTTCAGACCTGCTGTGCCCCTAGCCTTGAATTTTTGTACCTGACCTTCAGACCTGCTGTGCCCCTAGCCTTGAATTTTTGTACCTGACCTTCAGACCTGCTGTGCCCCTAGCCTTGAATTTCTGTACCTGACCTCATGAGGAGAAAAGAATACCTTCAAGGATCAATAAGCTCATTTCTATTCATTAGCATCAGATTGAGGGCATTTGGGCCAGCAGAACAAGTACATGCTTATTATGCATGCCCATGAGGCAGGAGGTGTCTCGAGGTGAAAAGGTGAGCGATCAGTATTTACAAGTTGTCCAGCCTTAAGTAAACAGAATAATCACATTATTTGACCAGAGGACCAAATCTACCTCACAATATCATATGTTCTTATTTTATTTTCAGCATCATGTCAGCTGCTTTTCAACAGTTTTATGATAGAAAAGTGGTATCTGATATATCATTAACATATACATGTGGCTATGGGTACTGTAGTTCAAATACTAATCCAGCAGGACTCAATTTAAGCGCTCATCATGAGGTACTTTACTTTTTTTTTTTTTTTTTTTTTTTTCAATTTACTCATTTTTTAAAGGTTATTTTGGGGCTTTTTTCATGTCTTTATTGTAGAGATAGGACAGTGGATAGAGTCAGAAATCAGGGAATGGCATGTGGGAAAGGAGCCACAGGACAGTTTGAACCCAAGCCACCTGCTTGGTGGACTAGCCACCATAAATGTCATACATAGCAAAAGCTATAGCAAAGCTATGTATGCTAGCACCCTCACGTCTGTCTCCACCTTGTAGTGTGGGAGAGTGTGTTTGAGAAAGAGAGAAAGAGTGTTAATAAGGTGACGTCATACTGTTGAGAGGGCATGTCATTTATGGGAGTCCATATCCTGATTGTGAAACAAATGTCCACTCAAAAACATGCCCTCCATCTCTTTCTCTCTCACCCTCTCTGTTTATATATATAGGGCGGCTGTGGCTCAGTTGGTAGAGTTGTCGCCTCTAGGGTTCGATCCCCAGCTTAGCAACATGTCCGTTGTGTCCTTGGGCAAGACACTTAACCCCGAATTGCTCCCGCTGCTTCAGTGGTGGTGTATGAATGGGATTAGTTTCTTCTGATGGATGATACTACATAGCGATCATCACTACCATCAGTGTGTGAATGGGTAGCTGTGACATGCAATGTAAAAGCGCTTTGAGCAGTCGGAAGACTAGAAAAGCACTATATAAGCTCAAGTCCATTTACCATTTATATCTGTCCCTCCTCCCTCCATTGTCGTTCACTCACGTCTGTGTC